CATAAGGATATGAAAATTACATTTTCCATTGAGAGTAAAGTACACGTGATGTGGTAAGAAGACAACCAGCGATCTGATTCTAGTTTTAGTTATGTCCTCATATGTTTGAGGTCTGAGCCTCGTTTTTCTCAATCTGACAAATGAGAAGATTTGAGCAGATGGTCTCTGAACTCCCTTTGAAATCTGATATTCCAAAACTAATAATTTTGACAAATGCATTTTTAATGGAAAATAAAAAGATCCCTTCTTCAACCCAAACTTTCATTAGCTATAAAGATAACTATGCCAAAGGTGTCTCCAGTTAAGCAGGAGCAAAATCACAGGCAGAATTGCAAACAACAAGTTTTGATTAGAGGAGTTCAAAGCAGTCATAATTTACTTGCTCTTCAAAGAAGGGTATTAGCACAGACCTGCACAAATTGCCCATATAAAATGGTTAGCAGGTACAATGTAAAAGAGAAGAAAGATACTGAGTAGATGAAGAGTTACCTTGGACACAGGGAATAATTCAGAACAGTAACTTCAGAAAGGAACAATACGGCAAACTGAGTGCTATAGAATAAGTTCATTTTTCAGCAGTCTAAGAGCAGCAATCCAGAGCAATGAAATAAAGCAAGCAAGTCCCCCCACATGGGGCAGCTACAGCTGTGGTCGCCACAAAAGGAGGATAAATGGAATGCGTCACAGGGGATTAGGTGTTTAAGGGAGTAGAAAGTTCTTATAACAGCTGCTACTTGCGATGGGTCTCAAGAATGTTTTTAAATGAGTAGCTAAGGTACTGAAATCCTTTCACTTGCAATCCTTTGGGGAAAGACGTAGAGTAAGACACAGGAGCTGAAATTGTTGCTAGAAAATGTTGAACTTAATTTTAAGTGCAATATTTTTTTTATCTGAAATGTGATCCACACTTATGTTGGAAAAATTGCAAAACAAAGATATACAAAAGAAAATTAAGAAAACACATATTTCCATTATTTATCTAGACACAACTCTACTTCTTGATTTTCCCTGGAATAAGAACTCAGATATTTCAATAGAGGAATTCGTCCTTCTATCACTAACCACATACTTGGAGGCAGTATGTTCAAAATGGAGGGCTGGGGAAAGGTGAGCTGTTACCTTTTTGGTCTCTCTACCTCTAACCATAAATAAAATTATGTATATATTACTTACAGAGCTTAGGAATGTCAAGGGCTTAAACATAGTTTGCCCAGGCTACTAGGTTAGGCTACAGGAAAGCGACATGCCTCTATTAGAAAACTAATACTAGTTTAGTAAAACTAACTTTCCTATCAGCCTGACATCACTTCTTGGACAAAAGCTGTAGCAAGGATTCCTATACACTAGGTTCCCATAAAAAGGGAATTATCAAGACACAGTTCTCTGCATAAATCCTTTCGGTTCCAGTATGCCAGCACTATTCAGTCATGGTCCATGGGGAGTAATGGATATTTAAGTACGTTGTCTATTGTAAGGACCTACTACCTCTAAGTCCTATCCACTCAGGTAAGTAAAAGTAGAGCACATAGCTCTGTGTTTATCCTCTGGTTAACTGAGTAGTACTTGAAGAGCATTCAGAAACCCTTCTGTGGCAGTGTTAGGCTTCCAGGATAGGTCAAATTTCCATCCTGGGAAATAGGGCAACAGAACACACTGAATGGCATGAAAGGCTCTAACGAAAGGACTAATGGGGATTTCCATGGTGTTACAGCATTACTCAAAAAAGCTTTAGACCTTTCATTTGAAGGCAGCTGCTAGTCCTTGAGATAGGGACAGAGACAAACACACATATTTTAAAAGTACTACCAATCAATCCAATACTTAAACATGTAAATTCTTCCCAGGAGGTTGATGGTTTAAGCTGTGCAGCTAACATCAACTCATTTTTGCATTTCTTCAAACAAAGAGAACAAAAGAAACAAAACTCCTTGCCTCTGATCATTCAAATCCTGACTAGATACATATATATAGTATCTATAATAAACATATGCACATATATAGTGTCTATATATAGTATCTAAAATCACTTCAAAAGAACGTTTGACAATGGTCAGGTCTTGACCTCCCAAACTAAGTACCTAAGGAAGCACTACAAAGTGTGTTTATTGGTTGTGAAGGGACATTCTATTCTTTTAAAGGGATACACAAGATATTAGAACTTGTTATTTACTCTTACTGTATGTTCAAAAGATCTGTGCTGGAATTCGATGTGTGAAAACACATCATTCATAAAGAAGTGGCTTTTCTGCAGATTCTTAGGAAAGGAGGAATTTTCCAGAAATTTCCAGAATCCAAAATACCTTTCTCAAAATTTTAATGGAGGAGAAAGTTCTCTCCAAATTCATGGAGTTAACCTTCATATGCCAGTCTTCTGTGATTTTGTATAGATGGTTAAAGTCTGAAAGAGATTAAAAAAAAAAAAAAGTCCATGTGAACAACTAATGGCTGTTAACTGGTGATTAAGTTGTGTTACCAATACTATCGTGACATTTTACCTCTGTGATGTGATATAGGCTATAATTAGATTCATCCAAATAGATAAACCTACATTTCTCAGTTGAAAATGTAATCTGACACAACCCTTATAAGAACAATATTGGATTATTTGTCATAATGTTATCTCTATTTTAAAGAAAGGAAACGACTACCATGAAGTAGATAAATTATGCCAAGAATTGAGTGTAATCTCCTTGCCATTGGCCCTATAAACTGGAGTTGCCTATCTCTTGAGGTTCCTATCCTACAACTATGCCTTCAAAACTTCAACTCTTCTGACTTTGCATTCACTTTCCTCTATATGAAATGATTTTCCTTCACCTGGTCCTCACAGGGTTATTCCTTCTTACAGAGCTACTTTCTTATTTCAGCTCTAATGTTAAACTTTTCAGAAAGATGTTTTTTAACTGAACAATCTAAACTAACCTCATACCCTAGGTAACTTTCTATGTTTTTCACATTTCTTATTCCTATCTGAAAATTTATCTTATTTGTTTATTGTCTTTTTATCCCTAGAAGAAATACATTCTATGGAGAAGGGAAACATATATTGTGCTTATTATTAGATTCTTATTTTCTATAGGAATGTCTAGAATATTTGTTATGAAGTGAATGAATTAAGACTACAGTGGTTTTCCAAGGAAGAAAAATTAAAGATTTTGTTTCTTCAGTAGTGGTTATGTGGCTAATACAGTATCTGACATATCATGAACACTTTGTTAGAATAGGATACAAAATACAACTTAACCAAATGCTGATCACTACACAGGTGATGCTTGAACAACACTGGAGTTAGAACTGCCAATGCCCCCCTCTCCTATATAGTCAAAAATCTACATATAAATTTTGACTCCCCCAAAACTTAACTAATTGCCTATTGTTGACTGGAAGCTTTACCAGTAACATAAGCAATCAACTGACATATAGTTTGGATGTTATAGGTATTACATACTCTATTCTTATAATAAAGTAAACTAAAAGAAAGAAAGAAAGAAAGAAAATATTAAGAAAATCATGAGGAGGAGAAAATACATTTATAGTAACATAGTGTATTTATAAAAAAAATCCACATGTAAGTAGATCCCTGTTGTTTGTCAACTGTAATTAGAAAATGGTTAAAATAACTCCAGTGTCTTAATGTGTTATTGCTTGCTATCCACATGGCTGAATAAAATTAAAGGCACATGTAGTACATTGTTACACATTTCAGGGGGGCTCTATACCATTGTTGACAACTGGCTCCCAGGACTTCATTAGCGCTACACTGAGGTATGCTCTAGCAGTTCAGTATTCATCTATCTTGAATCACATGCAACCAAGTCTATACCTTATCTGCCTTGTGCCTCATTTAACCAAAGTTTCAGTTTTTTCTTGGAATCCATCAGAGAAGTTGTTCTATACTTCAGCGTGGTTGTCAACGTCTCTTTATCATTAAGCTATTAATCTTATCTGAGGATGTGACCTTTGGTCATTCCTACAATTGACCCTCTTTTCATATTAGCTCCAATAATAAATTTGGAAGTCCCATTAAGCCTAGGAATGAGCTGTGCAAATAAATATTATTCCAGAGTTAATGGTTCTCTTTTCAAATGATAATCTTCTCCTCCAACCTGCTAGGGAGCTCCTCTTAAAAATAATTAAAACATTGCTAAAGGATTGAAACCCAATCTGTCTCCTCCCCAACTTCTGCCCACTCTCACTACCCCTGAATTAAAGCAAGTCCATCCAAGCAAAAAGTAATGGAATTTTAAAAGATTCCAACACCTTCTCATCTGAGGTCCCACTAGGTTACTGCTAGCTTATTTGGAATCTGGCTGCTTCATTATTGCTTTCAGCGGAATTAATATCAACTGCCTATTAATTGTCAATGTCAATGTCTTTAAAATTCCTTGACTGGATCCCTAATGAAAAGACATTGGATGATAAGGCAAGTGATTTTTCTACTTTCTTTTTGGTGTCTGACATCATTAAGGTGATTAATGAGGTGACCAGGGAATCCAAATCACTTGTCACCATGATTGCTAGTACAATAGCCAAAGCTCAAAGGTGGGGAAGGAATGGTAAGAAAAGTCTTCTTTTATCTCTGCTGTGTACTCTATTAAGGAGATGAATGTCTCACTTGTGTGAACCTGTCTGTAATACTAAACATTTGATTATAGCAAATGCTAAGAAAACCACAAACACGTGTTTATTTGCTTTCAAATTATTTGTAATAACTAACAAAGACTTGTTTTTACTGTTAAAGCTTTAAAATACATCCTAGATGGTGAAATAATGATTATAAAACAGAAAACAAATAGCTGCATCAGTACCTTTTAAAAGGAGTAGAAGGAAGGTACACTCACCAACAGAAGTAATTGGCTCAAGTTAGTAAAAAGTCCAACAGTAGTTCTCGGTTCAGGCACAGCAAGATGTATCTGGTCCCTCCTGTCCGTCCTTCCTTCCTTCCTTCCTTCCTTCCTTCCTTCCTCCCTTCCTTCCTCTCCCATTTTGTATCTGTCCCTCCTTTTCTCTGCTCTCATTTTCTTTGTGGTTTTCAAAATCCTAGGGAAAGACAGATGAAGAGCCAGTGAGGATTGAAAGAGAGAACTTCTTTTCTCTCATTGCAGCAAATTGCCAAAATTGATACAAACGCAGTTTGGGTCACTTGCTTAGTCTTAGAAGATGAGAATATAATATATTTTGATGTGTTCACATGCATCCAGTCCCGGAGAAAGGGGAAGTAGTTCATGCCAATGTGAAACATACTCCTAAGAGCAGGAAACTACAATACCTTTTTACCCATAAAAAGAAAATCACGCCTGAGCATCCAAATAATAAAATATCTACTATAGAAGAAATAAGTAGTGTTTTTAAAAGAGAAATGGGGTTTGCATTTAGTCACACCAACTTTTTTTCTGCAAAGCTATGAACTGATGGGCATTCTCATGCGTGGCTGGTAGAAGTATAAACTTTAGAATTTTCCTGGAGGACAATTTGGAAACATTTTACATATGAAAGTATACCTTGATCAGGCAACTACCATTCTAGGAAATTGTACTAAAGAAATAATAGTAAATCTTCCAAAAGGGTAACAAAAGTGATGCTTATCTCAATGTACGTAGGACATCAAAGAATTGGCAGCAATCCAAATGTCCAAAAGGTAGGGGAGAATATTAAAAATAGCATGGAGAGTAATATTCTTAAATTGATCTATGTACTTGTCTGTTATTTATTTATATAATCTGAAAAAAATATACACCCAGAGGCTAGAAGTGTTTGTGTGGTGGAAATGTGGGTGATTTGTCCTGTTTTCTTTTTGCTATCTCTATTTACTAATATGTCCCCAGTGAGTATAAACTTGTATTAATTGTGTAATGTTTGTATTCAGAGTTAGGAAAACTTGAACATGGACTTCTTAATTTGCTCCAAATATCCTTTCTAAGTGTTACCATGTTTGGATGGGAAGCATGGGACACAGGACATAGAACACTTCTAAGGTGTCTTTAGAGACCAAGAACCAACTAGAAACTATTTTCTCTTATGTCTGTCCTAAGCTAAGGGGCTGGACCCAAGGGTTAGGTCTTACCTATATTTGAAGTCTCTGGTAATAACTCAGGTTTCTTGGTAGTGAGGGAAATTAGCAAGCAGATGCCTGGGCTCCTCTTCCACAATGCCTGTTTACTTGCTGCACATGAACCTAGTGATGTGGAAAGCCTAGAAAGAATTACACAGAAGGGAAAAATGCCCCCAGTTCCTGAAATGGGGAGAGGACTGCCACTATAGCCCAACTTCACATGATATTTTAAAATTAACTCCAGGTACAATAATAATTTAGATGCAAAATATAAAATATGAAAACATTATAAGAAACTTTAGAAGAATATTTGAATAACCTTGCATTATACAAGATTCTCTTTAAAAAGATAGAAGACCTAAAGGCCCTACCTATGTAATATTTTATTACATAAAAATTACGCATTTTTCATGCCCAGTCATATCATAAATGAGTTAAAAGTGAAGGGAGAGGCTGAGGGAAATATTTTCAATGCATGCCATATTAAGGGTTAATATTCCTTATATTTTAAAAATCTCTAGAAATAATTAGAGAAAAGTAAAGGGACAATGGACACAGAGGAAATCCTAATGGTTAATAAATATACAAGAATTCTCTTAACCTCTTGGGGCTTAAGGGAATGTAAGTTACAACAATGAGATGCCATTTTTTCACTCATGTCATACAGAAATAATAATATGGTGACAATACAGTGCTGATGAGGAAATGGGGATATATAATCTCTGATATGTAATAATTAGTAATAAGTAATGATGGCCCCTTTTGGAAATTAATCAGGCAATAGCTGTTAAAATTGTAAACACCAACTTTGACCCACTAATCTCAATTTGGGAATCTATCCTATAGAAATAAAAATCTTTGTGTTATATGAACAAGAAAAATAAGAAAAAATAGAGGGCCACCAACAGGGGAAGTAGTTGGATAAACCATAACACTTTGTACTCTATGCAGGAATCCATTTCTATCCAGAAAAATAGGCTAGACCAGTGGCTCTTAAAGTTTGGTCCTTCGACCAGCAGTCTCAGCATCACCTAGGACATCAATTTTGGTAAAAAGATTTCCTTTCACCAAGCCTTAATTGGTCTTCAGATTTAGCTTATGATGGTCCCGGCATAACCCTTCATTAAGCAAACTCTTTAAATATGTGGATCGGTCAAAGCAAAGATTCTTGGATTTTGCTTGAAGAGGCTAAAAAGCATAATTCCCTGGATTATTTTCTCCAAACTATCTTCATTAATGTTAAAGTTAAAACCCATCTATTGGACCCTCTGAAAAGATTATAGTCACTGAAAGCAAATTATGTAGATACCAACATGCATAGTAAAACTTCAAGCAATTTATTAAACGTGGATTTTGTCCTCTGGTACTTTATCCCAGTCCTTTCAACTGTGCTTTAAATTATAAATTATAAATGTGCAAAAACAATGTTTCCTATTTAAAGCCTTAAAAATCACTCATTGAAATACCATTTTTAAGGTCAAATAAGTCAAGTGTTGAATTGCTGTTTTTTTGGCTAAGATTTCCTTTCAAGGACAAAATATTCCAGTAATATCACCTAAAACTAATCCTACCTATATCCGAAGTTTGTTAGAAAATACACTTACTTGAAAAGTGAAAAGGTCTAGCAAGTCAATAAGTACATGACTGTGTGATTCAAAAGTTATATCCCAGGAAAGTCACAGAAGCCATTGACTTGATCCAAAATAATCATGACTTTTAGGTAAATTTAACTTGTGATGTTGACTTCTTCCTTTTAATTATTTAGCTTTCAAATATAGTCAATAGTTGGATAAACTCTGATTATGGAGACCTCAGCTGAAAATATTTCGAATTAATAATCATCTGCAATGTGACATTTGAGATTCAAAAACTTTAGTCACTCCCACTCTCAACCTATTCTTTTTCCATGGCACAACTTTAGGGTTATAACTGAAGTGAATCTCTAATAATTAATGCCCAGGTGATTTGATTTTTGCATAATGCAAAAAAATTAAGAGGAACATTTACTTGCCCTTAAAAAAAATCTATAATCCACTAAACAGAACCTAGATATAAATGTCCTCAGGACTGAAAAAAATACTTCCATAGCCTATCATGTCATGGTGGTCTAAATGATTTCCAAGACAATGTCATAAAAGGAAGTTTTTGTCACTAACTTAAAAAAGATTAGATTTATATAATTTAATTAACTTAACAAACTCCACTGTAATACTTTAGAAATGAATCTCTTTTAATCTTCTAATTTTATTGGCTTCATTACTGTTGTAAAGAATTTCTAACCCATGATTACATCTGTGCCTTTCCATACAGCCACTCAAGAGTCCTGAGGAAAAAAACCAACTACTTTTATTCTGTGCTTTGGTTCTCAGCAGACACCAACAAATAGAGAAAATCCTTTCTGCCTTAGCTTTAAAATGTTTGCTCTGCATTAACACATCTCACTAGTATATTTTTCTTCCTTCAAGCAAATATTTGAGAACCTACTATGTGCCAGTACTTGCCAGGCACTTCAAGTATATAAGGAAAATCAAGACAGGTATTTGACATAAATAACTTTTAAGTTACAGTGAAAATCTGTCTCTAAAATAGTTTCTTAAATACTTTTTGTTAACTCAATAATAACTCAATCAGATGTTTGACTCAACACGCATGCTATTTCCTACCCTATTAGTAACTGATTGCTTTTACTATTTGCTCTAAGTGTTTTACCACCTTCCATGGTGTTCCTTTGGACCCTTCCCTTCATTGAGCCAGTTGGTCACAGACAGTTGACCAAGGAATAGATCCTATATACCTTCCAAAATTATTTTACTTTACTTCTATATTGTAACACCCTTTCTTTTATTAAAAAGTATTCTGAAATGCTGGAACCAAGAAGAATATTCTTATTTAAATATTAGGAATTTAGGTCTGCATAATTTAAAGTACAATACCTTCCCCTGAAAGGACTTATATGCTGTGCTGACAGAGTTTATCATTTTTATTTGTGGTGTTAATAGAATTTAGATTTAGATATCATTTGCATGGTCTGCGTTAACAAGAAAAAAAGCAGACAACTGAATAGATTTGTAAACTGTCCATGTTCAAGGCAATGAGCAGATTAACTGTGAAGAGAAAAATAATATGGTTTTAGGAAAAAGTCTTTCTAGTTGAAACTCTCATCCATGGCCATGGGATTATTTTTTTCTCTCACTAAATCTTAGTCTATCCTGTAGGCCTAAAAGACTGCTCAGTAGGGGAAGAAATCCAATATTGAAAAATTCATGTTACTCAAATCCCCACCAGTTGTTAATATCCCTCCAGAGCCATGGCCAGATTTTGCATGTAATCAAGATTCTTTGGTCATCTGTTGATTTTTGGATTACTGTAGTTATCTGACGATGTCTTTTAACATAGAGTCCTCTCTACCAAATTCCTCCTGTTAACCATAGGCACCATAGACCATTGAGACCAAAAAAGTTCAGGTTCACCACCCCATTAAGATATTCGTTTCTCTATGCTTCCAGATGATTACCCAAAAAAATTCTTCTATACATTTGCAACAACAAACTTTTTAAAAGTTTGATGCCATCCAGTAGAAATTTTCCTGGAAAAATTCTTTAACTAAAAAGTACTTTGTACTGCACAGAATTCTTAGAAAGGAGATATATAGAACCCACACTGGGGTTTCCTATTAGAACTGCAACAAAAAAAATATGAACCACCATCTCCAACTGTTGGTTAGGAAAGAAGACATTTGAGTTAAAATGCCTAGGTTTGATTCCAGCTATGCAGTCTTGCACATATTACTTACTCCTTCTGATCTCTCTAAGCCTCATATTCTTCACATATAAAATGAGGATTAAGAAATGCCCATCTCAAAGGTTTTAGTGAAGATTAAATAAAATAAGGCGCTCAGTACAATGCCCAGCACACAGTTCCCTCTCTATCAATTCATGATTCAACACATATGTATGTGCTACTCTTTGGTCATTTTCAGAATTTTTAGTTGACCATATTTCATAATAGAATCTAAAGGATTTACCAGTTTTAATGGTAATTCACAGTTCCAAAGAGCCAGATTCATATTTATTTAAGTTCTGTAGTATTTTTTTAAATTTCTGTTTTCTTATTCATAAATAACATCTTTAATCTCTATTTCCCTCTTCCTGCTTTCTTGGTTATTTTGAGGTTTTTGATATTGCTGTTCTAACTTCTAAATCCCTTCATTTTTGCCTTGTCTTATATGCATTAGGACTCTGACTATAGCAGCATTTACTATAACCTGTAGGTTTAGGTACGATATGCCTCATTTCATTGCTTTGTAAAAAGTTGCAATGTTTGTTACCTTCTCTTTGATTTCAGAATAATCTGGAAATGGGTTTCTTAATTTCTATGCTGTCAAGATTCTTTTTGTTCATCTTTCAATTTTTGGATTATTGTAGTTATTTGAGAATACCTTTTAATTTAGTCATCTCTACCAGAACAAAAAAAGAGATTTTGTCTTAACAAGTTAAAAATTCATAATCATCTAAGGAAAGTTTTTTAATTAATAATTCTTGTAGACTTTAAGAATTCCAAGAAAATTTTCATAGGCTTAAGAGCCTCAATGCTGAGAAGCATGGAACAATTAGAAAAATTAAAAGAAAATCCATATTTGAATGTCTAGGTATTCAATCTATGTTGCTTTATTATGAATTTTAAATATTTAATAGGAATCAGATTAGTAGAATTTAAAGTATTCCCAGTTGCATTTATACTTTATTTCTCTCAATAATAATTTTAAAAATCTTTATAATTGAAATTATAAGTGAATCTTTATAATTGAGTCTTTATAAGTGAAGTCAATCCAGGGACTTCACTCTGGAAGTAAAATTAATCCAGACCCAGGCATCAAAGCAGAGTGTTCAGTGTAAAATGGGACCAGTAGACTGGTTTCAGTTAGGATGCAGATGATAAAAGTAAAGCTCATGTTGAAAAAAACAGTAAGTGCACCACCTGAACAATATGCATGAGGCATCAGGATAAGGAAGCCCTATCAATGAGGTACCTCTGCCTCAAGGAGAAAAGGAACCCCAGGAACAAGTAGCTTAACTTCAAAGATACTAGCCAACAACTCTAGGTGTAGAGAACCCTATATTAGT